TGTCTCTCCTCCCGTCTTTGCGCTCACTATCTCCCCTAAGTCCGTTTGGCGGTTGATAGGCCACCTCGGGGAACGCCCCCACCTCACAGGTGCCTACAACTGTCCGCTTAATCCACAGTGGAATAAAAGGAATATTGTACAATCAACACTAAACACACATAATATAAATATGAGGATAAAACCATGCAATATAAATATCAATAAACAAACGTGCAATATAAATATCACAATAAAATCATGCAAACAAAATCAGCACCATGTACCAATACACAGATTGATAAAACATAAGAACACAAATTTCCACCGTGTGACACATGTGTGTTCTAAGGTGCATTTAAACCCCAGGAGGACATGGAGCTACCTGCGAGAGACAGCAGCAGGTAAGCGCATAGCCCCTCCTGATAGCCCTCAGTGTCTACATGTATTTAAATTGAGAGGTGGGCAACGACGCCAGAGGTGAGACCAGAAGTTTTGGTCTAAGTTAACTTTGGTCTAAGTTAACTAGACAGAGAGCAATTTGAACAATACCTCTTAATTTTTTACTACATGATAAAGAAATTCTGTTGTGGTAAATGACAGAAATGTGTCAGCATTATTTAAATTGTAAGAAATAAATGTTTAAAATTACAGAAGAAGAGAAAGTTTCTGTCAACTCACAGAAAATATCCTGTTGGGTTTTTGTTTTAGTGTGAAAAACAAAAAAGAAAAATTCCACGACACATTCTCTAGAACAGGAATCGTGGTGGATCCTGTCAAAATAAAAGCAGGGGAAATTTAAAGGCGTGGCACGTGAACGCATGCGCATATGGATGCACACTCACTGATCCACCGTATATGACATTACAGATTATTTTACATATAAATCCTTTATAAATATACATTTCGACTGCAGAATATTTATATTTATAAACATTTTTAGACTTACAAACAAACAAAAAAAAAAAAACACCCACTCAGGAACACCGGAAACACTGTTGGACCAACGGTGCATTTCCGTATCAACAGTATCGCTCAGTGGTCGCGTCTCCGGGTTTCCTCCATTGTTAAAGTGGAAAATTATTGAATCCATAGATTGTGTTAGTGTTTGGGATGTACCGGGATAAACGGGAATGGCTTCACTAACGCTCCCGTCTCTCTGCTGGGCTCTGCTGTTCCTCTTCGTCGTGCTTTTCGCTGAAGGTGAAGGTGAGCTCTCCTCCAGCTTCCGCTTTCTCTTCGGTTACACCACAGCGAACATTCCTGTTGTTTACTGTAAACAACTGTCACGTATTAAAAAAATAAAATAAAATAGAAACATACAAGCTGCCTCAGGACACAGCGAAACCTCCGAGGCCCGAGCTTCGTTCCCACAAACAAACAGAAAGCCTCCGGTCATGATCGCTTCACCCTGCCCGCCATGACAGACGTCACGAAGCGAAGGACGGATGTCGGTTGGAAAAATTTCACGTAGTGCCCAACTGTAAGGTCAAGTGGCTTCTGTTCTACACGTCCACAGCAGCCACAGGTGATGTTATCATACCCACTCCGTTCACACAAATAAATCAGGTCCATCCTCTGTGCTTCCTAGTGAGCGTTACCGCAGTGATCTCCTTCACTGAGAACTGAAACTTCGCCCACATCTACTTATTTCTTCCTCTTTCCCAAAGAGCCAGATCATCAGATTCTCCCGTGTCTTAAAAAATGTCTTTAATATCAATCACTTAATACTTATTATGCAACTAACTGCATGTGTCTGGACTGTGGGAGGAAGCCAGACTACCAAGAGAAAACTGCTTGTATATAACAGGAGTCTGATCTGACTTACAGCTTCAAAGGTTTGGCGACTTTCTTCTAAAATAAAGTACAAGAAGTTTGGGGGTTGTTTTTCCTCTTATTTGTTTCAGCGGAGTTCACTGGTCTCTCTCTGATTAGCTAATGTAGAAGTGAATAGACCCTGTGCACGAGAAAATGCTAACTTCCTGGTTTGAGACCGGATGTGGGGTTGTACATTTCCGGTAGCTTTACTTTGCAGTCAATCGCTACTGCAAAGATATTCTCCAAAATCATGTCCAAAACTCGAAAACGGAAAGATGGCGTTAAGTCACAAAGAGCAGAAGGTGGGAACACTCACCACTGTGTGTCATAAAAAATCTAATGATCAATGTTGACGTTTAAAGAGTTTAAATCAATCAGTTGTTTACATCACTCAACACAAGCAGAACTGCAGCAGAAGACACATCGTCCACATTCAGAAGCACATCTCTGTATAGTGACTGGTCTCATGATTTAAACAGGCAAATGTTCAGCATTCAAACTACAGGTGAACAATAGTCAAACCAGGTGTTTCCCCGTTATGTCGATATCAGCTCGTCAAGTACACACCTACACAGCATGTTAACAAACCCTGAAAAAAGCCACACAAAAAATGAATGATAGCTGGTAACGGTTTCTATACACAGGAGTTTCTGCACCGGAAGTAGCATATGCTAACGTGCACATAGTCAATAGTTGTACTTTGACCTTTAACCTCTCTGCTCTGTGTTGTTTCCTGTTTCAGCCCAGAACACCGTCACAGCCGAGCCTGGACAGGACGTAGTTCTACCATGTCAAATTCCGACAGGCAAAATCATCCAAGGTTTGAAGTGGAGCAGAGCTGACCTGGAAGAATATGTGCTTTTTTTCCGGGATGAGCGGCTGGATCCAGATGGCCAGCATCCGTCTTTTAAGAACCGGGTGGATCTGCAGGACAGGAAGATGAATAACGGAAACGTGTCTCTGGTTCTGAAAAATGTGACGACTGCTGATGATGGATCGTACAATTGTAATATTTTCAACAAAGAGACAAGATCATGGGAGAGCATCAACACCGTCAGCCTGACTGTTCCAGGTGAGTGAGTAGAGTTGAGTGTGTGTGTGATCAGAGGTGAAGCTGCTTCCTGGTTGTTGATGTTTGTTTCTAAAGATGTTGTTGATGAGACTTTGTAGAAAGCAGCTGGTCTGAGTGATGTGATCAGAGTGCAGTAGATAATGTCTGACAGCAGTTTGAAGAGGAAATGGATCCTGTTCTGTTCTTCACTCATCACCTACCTGACAGCTGACAGCTGACACCTGTTTCTCACCTGCAGGTCAGACAGGACCATCTGTTGGACTGATCGCCGGTCTGAGTGGTGCTGCTGTGGTTCTTGTTGCTGCTGTTGTTGGTTTTGTGTGCTACAGAAAACATGAACAACAGAAGCGGGATTTTAACTAGCATCCTCATGAACAGCAGGTTTCAAATGTCTCTACGGTTTAGTATGTGTCAACTAACAAAACACTAAACTTACAAAACAACACTGGTTTAAAAACCTATTGTTTAATTTATTGCTGGGTCACACTACATGACATCACTACAGAGTCCAGACAAATGATGCATCGTTTACCCGAATCGCTATAATTGAGAGAAATCCTGGAAAAAAATATTAGGACATAATAAGTTTGTTAGTAAGTAAGTTTCACCTGCTCTATTTGTACTTCAATGACCTCTAACAACTGAAATCTTTTATTGTATGAATATTCATCAATATTCTATCCAGATCTATCACAGTGACATAGAACCGCCCACCCTATTATAAAGCCTTTCCATTTAATGTATTTAAAAGCTGGAGGTGTTGCTCTTCCATCACTGTCACTGGCAGATCTGAATGAATACTGACCTTAAAGGTGAAGGTGAACCCTGTTTGAATGACAGCATGTTGTTTACCATTATAATATAAAATATATATATAATATAATATAATATATAATATAAAATATCACTGATATTAGTGAATGACTCTGGGTCAGGGATGTCAAACTGGTTTTACATCGTTGGCCACATTAAACTCTTTCTGTCCATGTAAATTAGTTTAAGTTCACATTCATTCTGACATATCTCAGTGTAAGAAGGAGAAGCGCAACTTTACCAGCACCTCTGAGTTTTCTCTAATAAATTTCTGGACTAGATGGTGAAAAAAACAGGAACTTTCTGTAACTTAACAGCCTGTTTATTGTTTATTTACTTTGGTGTCGTATGAATCACCTTTGACGAGGTCGTCAGCTGTAAAGCAGCAAAGCTGCATTTTCCAAAGATACCCAGTGGGCCTGTGATGGGCAGATTATGGCCCCCGTGCCTTATGTTTGACACCCCTACTCTAGGTCTTGTGGTCTGACCCAGAGTAAACTCTGACGTTGACTTAAAAACAAAACTGAGAAAAAGCTATAATAGGACAGGATGGTTAAAATTTTCATCTGTCATGTTTGGAATCTGTTTTTTCCCCAATAGCAGCTTATTTTATTATTTATTCATTATCATAGAGAATGATAGCAGGTTATGATATGGATGTGTTACTCAGAGAATTGAATCTGTAATCTCTGACCTTTGTGAAGCTTTTCAGCTTAAAGTGTCAGAACGACCAGACACCAAAGACAAACCCACTGCGTAAAGGAAACTTTACTACAGAAGGAGCAGAAGACACTAAAACACTAAATTAAAACTAAAACATTTTCATGCTATAACATAAAAACTGACCTCGCGCATGTCGGCTGATCCTTTTCTCATTTTTAGTTTGTCACAGAGACAAAAAGTGACGGAGCATTTAGAGCAGAACATCCTGAGAGGAAGTTCAACTCTGTGTTTTTACAGTTATGCTGTGTTCAACTGTGAACAGTTCAAAGCAAACGAGGAGTGATGTCAGTGTAGCTTAGAGAACAGTCGACAGCCAGGATCACAAACACTACACAGTTTCTGATTCCATCCTTTTCCTGGAAGTAACCAGTTAATGCAACTCTTCTTTCTAGATAACAATTAATGTCAAACGTGACTCGTGTGTGCAAAGTAAAGCTTTTCAAACTATTTTCTATCC